TATAAAAGTTAAAAAAAAAAGAAAATGAAAAATAACATTAGTTCAAAAATCTCAAAAGTCAAAACTCAAAATCGAACATTACATTAGAATTTTCGAACTCTTTCATTTTACCTCTCAAAACCCTAAAGGAAAACCCTAACCCTTCGTCTGTCACTCCCTTCATCGTCGTCGGTTGCCACCCGAGCAACCACCATCGGTCCATAACCGGTCACCCCCTCATCGTCCGACCAACCACCAGCCTTTTGTCGGAGTTTGAACGCCATCGTCGCTCATCTCGTCTTTCCTCTTAGGATCTTACCTCTATCTCTCTTCTCTCAGTCTTTGACTCGCCGCCCAAGCAACCACCATCACCGACGGCATCGTCAGTGATAGCGGTTAAGCACCTGTCACTGGCTATAGCTCAAGCTCAAAGCTCAAGATCAACATCGTTAGGCCTCAACCGTCTAGCATCACCGGCTTTGTGCTGCAACCCACGACTGCCGGTGGGAACCCATCACATTTGCACCGCTGGGAACCCACACTTGCCGCCATCCCCTACCTCTTTTCTCAAGGTGATTACAGTCTTACAGTTAGAGATTAAGGAATTTGAACCCAAGTTGGTTTAATCTCCTCTTTTCTATTAAATACTTCAGGTTTATTATTCTCTCGATTGATTTCCCCTTTACGGATTTAACATTCTTCAGTGGAATTTTTTTCTCATTAGTATAGGTGGTAGACAAGGAAACCAACAGAGAGAAAAGCACAAAAGATCCTATAGAGACCAACGTGGGAAATTTCTCTGGAAGTTGAACTCAAATCGAGGTCAGAGGTTGTTGCCAGGGCAACTAGAACTTCGTATGTTGCCAGAATCCTTCGTTCTCGGAAAAGATTGATGAAAAGAGTCATGTTGTGAATGAGGGGGAGGTGATGGCATTGGTTTTTATCTTCACTACACTTAAGAACACCCATAGCATTTACCTCAGGTTTATTATTTCTCCAACCATGCTTTTAACTCTTCACTGCACTTAAGAACACCTATAGCATTTTAGTTTTTCTTCAGAAATTAACCTAAATGGCAGTGGCTTTTATCTAATGTCAGGCTATGAGAAATTGAGAATAATTACTTTGTTCCCATTACCGAGTACCATAGCCATAGGACCAGAGCTTTTTCCTACAGAATCATACAACTTGGGTATTGCTTCATGGTTATTCTCTTTTACCTTTTGGTTTTGCATTTTATATATCAATCAGCTTGTTGATGTACCATGTAAAGCTTGGATTAGCACAACCAGGTCTTATTTTCACCTTTGGCTCAGTTTGGATACAAATATATGTACAGTGCAAAAACCTTGTATTTGCACAATACATATTTGTATTTGTACTTTTTCCAAATTGAGCCCTGCGTGAACAATAATTTCTTCAAGAACTAGGTTCTAATTTGAAGAAAGAATATTTTACATTCAATATGTTTTCAGTTGCTTTCAAGGGGAAGGAATGTTTTACATTCAATGTGTTTTCAGTTGTTTAGGAAGCTTTGTTTGATTAAAATTAATGTAATGTTTTGAAAAGTTGGACTCAGATTAGGAGTTTTACTATATATAATATTTTGCACTAATATTTTGTAATTGTACACTTTCCAAACTGAGCCAGGCATTGTAGGACAATAGGAGAACCTTTGTGAATGTCTTAAACCTCCATGTGGTTGCTGTCTAAGGTGGCACTTATATGGTCTTACCTATTAAAATAGAAACCCTTTTGTTTCATCAATAAAGAATTGAGATGGAATATGACATGGAGACATGGAATCTGTTAATTTCATTAACCAAAAGTTAAAAAGAAACAACAGAAAGTTATTAATTCTTTTGTCTCTGTCATTTCTTTTGCCTCTCTCTGTGTGTCACTCTGTGTCTCGTGAACAAACCTTCCAGCTAGAAAAGCATCTCCCAGGACAACGGTGAACACATCAACCACCTCACAAACTGAAATGTATAAGCCATATGGCCCATACCATGTGGTTGATAATTAAGTTTTTGGCTAGCTGAGCAAGGTTATCTAACACCAATAATAATATCCACATATTTCTTGCAAGAAATTTTGCATAAATTCTGAAATAAATACGGATGGCGATTCAGAACAGCCAAATTTTTAATAAATTGGATAACGGTATGGTGAAAGAAAAAGATATATCATTATATATAGTAAGAAATTAAAGATAGTACTCTTTTGGAACTATTACTCTTTAAAATTGTTAGCTATGGCTTGTGGGTTTTGAATTTGATGTACTCAGGATTTGAATAATTGAATCACTGTCTGTGGCTACAGGTACAGATACTGTTGTCAAGTTCTACCTTCTCCATGCATCCAGAGAACTATGGGCAGTGTTGGAACATTGTTCCAGAGTTCATACCATGAAGAAAAGTAATGTGTGCCAACAGGTACCCTTCTGCACCCTTTGAAGTTCTATTGCATCCATCGCTCTCCCTCCTTTCTTTGCAGGTTCACACATATACTCACGGGTTTTCAGGTTTCTGTGTTCTTTTTTTTCTCTTTTCTTGTGAAGGAAGGAGAAGAAGGCTTTTGAAGTCAAGAATGTGAAGTCTAACAACTTTAAATTCCTCATAATTCCATATGAAAATGAAGATATTAGTGTCTCACTTTTGATTGGAAAAAAAAACTTTATCCTTTGGTTTGGAGTTCGGATATTGCTAGCAACCTCTCTTCTATGTATTCTGGTTTTCCTTGTTATGTAAGCATACTCTGTCCCTCTTTATTCTATCCTTGTTCACCATTTCGGAACTTAATGTCATATGTGGTTACTAAGCTCAAGTGTATCATCTTTTTAAAGTTTTCATATTCATGTTATTCTTATTGGTAATGGTAACTATCAGAAGTTCACCAGATTAATACTCGATCCATATGATGGCTTCTTTGAAATTGTTTTTGTTGGTTAGAAGGATCAAGGATGCATCATGTTGGTACTTCTTTATCAATTTGGAAAGAGCTAAAAGTAAACACAGAATGCCTCATAAGGGGATAAATAACAGTTGAAGGCTACAAATGTAGTGCATCAGGCCTGGTAGATGAAACAATACCTGGTGTAAGTGGGGTATTGATTGTAAAACTGGAATTAATCTAATCCCTAACTTGCAAATTTTGTCTATTGCAAAATAATCAATCTAATCGGATTCGAATATATTCAAATTCATATTCGAAAAGCCATTTGGTCGGATTCGAGTCAAATCGAATATTCGATTTAATAATCGAAATCGAATTCGAATATTGGTATCTATAATCAGTTTCAAATTCAAATCTAGCCTGATTTGGTTCGAATACGATCCGTTTACAGGCCTAGTCATATGTACGAGTTCAGATTGGCTTGAGCTTGGCAGTGAATTTTATATAAAATTTAAAATTTTACTTATTATACATATAAAAATTAAAAATATTATATATAAAGTTGATTAGGCTAGTTTCACGAGTTGAGTTTCACACTATTGGATTGAAATTGAGCCTATATATTGGACTTGAACTCAACTCGAAACTCAATTTGAATTGAGCTAAATCAAACTTTTCACAAGTCAAACTTGAATAACTTGTGAGCTTAATTTGTATCCACTTCTAAGCTGATCCGACCAATGATCACCTCTATTTTATGATTTATTAGTGTTTTAAAACCTAAATGTAAGTTGAATCTCGCCAAATGAGAGGTGGCTCAATTGGTATGCTAGCTAGTTTGTTGTAGTAGAGACTAGGATTTGAATTCCATTGCCACCAACTTTGAGGAGGGTGGTTAAAAACGTGATGTTGTGCTACTAAAATTGCCCTTCAGGGAATACGTATCACCAAATACCCAAAAAATTTGAATTAATTTTTCTTTACGAATTAACAAATTAACTGATGGTGACTAAATTGGTAAAAATCTCTCACTTGTAGGAGACAATATGGTTCAAATCCTACTACCACCAGGGATGGGGGATAAAACAAAAATATATTAGCAGCTCAGTTTTCTTTGTAATAGGTTAAATGTTGATCGGAACCAGATTTTCATTATAAAATTCAATAGTTATTGAAGATTAAAATATTATTATTTATTAAAATTAGATTATAAATTTATCTGAAATTAATTATTATTATTTTTATATTATAAAAAAGTAACATGTAATATATACTAATTATTAATTATTTCAAAAGTTAAAATATAAAAACGTTTATTCTTATATATTTTTATTATTTCACTTTCGCTTAAAAGCCCGGCCTTTGCTAACGAGAATGATAAAGGAAAAAAAAGGGAAAATGACCAATCAGCCCAGATCAGAATTTTATAACCCTAAAGTACAGGAAAAATACATCCTAACCGTGAATTAATGTCAAATTTACGGACAGGATGTAATTTATAAGGGAAGAAGGCTAGTAGTAGGGGGGCTGGAATTCAGAATTCTGCATCGTATGTATTCCTAATTGTCCGAAAAAAAAATGAAATAAACAACATAGCTTTTTTTCAACGTCAATTCCAGCTCTCAATTGAAAGCTTCCTTCTTTTCACTAATCTATAATAAATATTCAAGTACATTTATAACTAAATAAAAAAAACTATTGAAAAATAAAGAGTTTTACACGTGGCACCTTATGTGGTGGTTTGAGAAGTGATCAATGAGACTTCTAGTTTCTACATCACCATTATTTTACACCTCAAAATTTAACCAAATCACCACATGCCACGTGTTACACTAGTTCATTAGGATGGATGATCAGAATTGGCCAGATCATGGGCTGATGTGGCAAAAGATTGTGGGTCGTTCAGAATTACGCTATGGATGGGCCGTCCAGAGAATGAATTCATTAATTAATTTTTTTTTATGGCATAAAGTAATAACTAAATAAAGTCGCAATCCCAACAAATCCTTTCCAGTAGTTATGAATTATATATCCCTTGCTACAGAAGTAACAACCACTGCTGACGTCACCTTACGTTTTCTTTCTTCTTATGTTTAACGTGCCACGCTCGTGGACTTTCAACTCTTTATTCGAGAGAGAGAGAGAAGCCAAAGCCAAACCCAAAACCAAAGCTAAAGCCATTTGTTGCGAAGAAGAACAAGACCAAAAAACCAGTCGTCTTTGTGCCATTAAAATCTGAAAAAAGAAAAATAATAAACCCTAATTTCGATTTTTCTTTGTTCCATTTCCTTGACTCTCTCTTTCTCTCTCTGTCTATTTAAGCTCTGCCGGGATGAAAGATTATTTATAGATTATACAGACGAGAAAGGAAGGAATAAATAAGGCGAGATATCCAGATATCCATTTCTCTGCCATTTTAGTTATCTTAGGCAATATAAAAAACCCTAATTTCGTGTTAAGAGATAGAGAGGTTGGGTAGACACTAGATAGGGAAGAGGGAGATTTGGGCTGGGTTGTGTTTTTAATTTTCTTTTTTTTTTATTTCTGTTATTTGTTTTGGGTTTGATTTCGATGGCTGCTGTTGCGGAGAATGCAATTGGTTCGGATGATCAGTTCATCCATCATCTTGGTTCTCCGACTACTGGTGTTGCTGCTGCTGCTCCGGCTTCTGATCCCAAGTCAGAATTTCAACGAGACGTGCGGCAGCTCGTTGATTTGCTCTCGAAATTGAACCCGTCGGCCAAGGAATTCTTCCCGTCTTCTTACTCTCCCGATCGTCAGTCGCCGCCGAGTAATTTCTCTGAGGCGATTAAGGAGTTCGGTAGTGATGGGAATCCCAATTACCGGAAGGTACTTCCGCTGTGATTTAGTCCCATATTTCTGGTTTTTCTTATTTTTGTTTATGGGATGGAGGTGTGGATTTATATAAAAAATATCTTTTTTTGTTAAGTTATTACTTTGTACAGTAATGGTGTTGAATTATGGGGCTTTTGGGAATTTGGGTTTTATCCATTTCTATTTCTAAACCTTTTTGGAGCATTCGATCAGTTCATTTGGCTCTTTTTTTTTCTTAATTATTGAGGTCGAATTGGATTTCTGCAAAAGTTGGGTTTTATCAGAAGGACCTATATGCTTGTGTATACCTTGTTTTTTTTCCCTGACTTTTTTACTTATTCTGGGCTTGCCAGAAAAAGAATAACTTTAATCAGGGGAAGAGGAGGTTGAATGGGAGAACTCTTAGAGCTCAGAGAGAAGATAGCATTAGGCGAACTGTATATGTTTCCGATATTGATCAACATGTAAGTAAATAATTATAGAAAGTTTTATTTCTCTCTTCTTTGCGTTTAACATCAAAGTGTTCTTTCCGCCCTTTCTTTTACTCTTCTTTCTACTATTAGAGATACATCATCGGAACTTTTTTAATCTGTTGCATTAGGTTACTGAAGAGCGACTTGCAGCGTTATTTCTTAATTGCGGACAGGTAATTTGTTGTTTATTGGATACTAGATTTTTCATATTAACTGCCGGCTGATTTTCCTCCTCGTAAATGATAAATTCAATTCTAATCTGGATGCTGGTATTTCCTTCATTTGTATGCCTGCTTTGTTACTGAAAAGAATGCCAACTTTGTAATTGCAAAAGATTCCATTGTGTTTCTATTATGAGGGATAAACATTCTTTGCCATCTATAGATTTGAGAATCTGTCCAATTGGAGCATCTCTTGTTGTAATATCATTAGGAAATGAAATTCATTGTTGTCCCGCATGCATTGTTTTTTCTTTCTTTTTCCCCTTTATTAAAGCCTTTCCGAGTGTCGCTAGCACAAAGCTAAAAAGGTTTTGTTGGTTCTTTTGTTTGAAACTTTACATGTCTAACACTACTAATTTTATCAGCTCTAATGATTGCTACAAGTGTCTCTTATTTCTTTTCAAGGCAAAAGAAAAGAAATGCCTTGCTATAAGATAAGTAAATATTTATTTCAGTGCACCAAGGGGTTAGAAAATTAAACATAACATCTTGCTTGGTTGGCTGACACCAGACTCTTTTGGTAGTCCACTGGTTTAGTCGGCATCAATTTGCTTCATTTTCTGGCTTCTCTTTTCCTTCTTAGGGTGATAACCATAACGTAATTTCCATAAAGATTATTTGGGGAATTTGTGTCCATTTGGGTTTCTTTATCTTCCAATCAGGGCATGTAAACTAAAACCTTTTCAAAAAAGTTCTGCCAATTGGAACTTCTGCCTATTAGGTCATCATTGTAGTTTGTATTCAACTTCTTCCCAGCTACTTCTAATATGGCTGTAGACATCAAATGATCTTTTTTCATTCGTTATTATTGTCGAGGAGAGATCCATTAAAGAGGAAGGCTTTTTTTTTTTTTGTTTGTGCAAAACCAAATTGCCTAAATATATTTCTGATATATTTTCTATTTTTCATATTTATTTAATTAATCATTTATCCATTTGGATTTCCAACAACATGATTCCAGGAAGCTAAGTTCCATGCAAATAACATAAAGGGAAGCATATAAAGAAATATTCTTCTTTTTGTTCTTAGTTGATAAAATATTAAGTAATAGAAAATGGGGTCTGTACTAGGTTTAGGGCTGGGGATAACTTTAGAAATAAGGGAAATTAGTGCAAAGAGTTCACTACACTTTTGTTTATTGGTATAGGGAATTAAAATCATACCTTTTTGGTAATTTTCCCTCCTCTATATGTATACATTGTGTTTGGTTGTGGAGAAAAAGGGGGAAAATAAAAGAAAAATGGAAAAGAAAGAGTTTTCTTTTATGAGAAAGTGGGGCCAGTTGACTTTCTTCTAATTCCTTGCTGTTTTCCTCAGCTTTCTCTACCATTTAGGAGGGAAAGTAAAAGAGATCAAAAAGAAAACTTACCTTTCTATTTTATGTTAACCTTCTTTTCTGTTTTGATTTACCTTGTTAACTAACTCATAAAACAACATTGTTGACTAAATTAAGGAAACTCACTTTCTTTTAGTGTTTGTTTTCCTTTCTTCCATTTTCTTCACAACAATATGCAGTATAGGGATCATTGGTGGCATTACATAAATAGATATATGCGTTCTTGGGTCTAGGATCATTAGGGGCTTTGTTTACTCTTTCCGAGGCACACCTTAAAATGCATCAAGGCTTACATCTCACTTCTCCAAGTCCAATCACCTTGCCTCTGCCTCATACTTGTCAAGGTGACGCCTAGGTAGACAAGGCGCCCTTGGAGGCTCGCCTCACCCAGTCGCCAAGTAGTTTTGTATACTGTCTTATAAAATACTTTTATATGGTTTTTTTATTTTGAGATTATGATTATAAAATAGACACTATTAAACAAAAAAAAATCATTTTTTGTGTTTATAAACTAATTTCTTTTTATTATTTTCTTATTTGTTAGGGTTTAATCAACACAAACATTGCTAATTGCTGTATTGAACCCTCAAAGAATTCAAAATCTGAACCAGTAAGTAAGGGAAGAACTTAAAATTTTGTCTAATCAACACATTTCTTCTTCCACATCTTCTTCTTTGGGGTTCAGCCCCTATATTTTTTGAATTTTCTTTTCTTTCTTCTTTTTCTTCTCATAAATATATGGAACCTAGGGAACTACCCTAGGGTATGTGGTTTTTATTTAAAAAATCCAGGTGACTAGGCGACAAGGCACCTTTTGTCGCCTAGCCTCACCTTGGCACCTTGAAAACTATGCTCTGCCTTTGGTCTTTTAAAACCTTGGTTGTAATTTGTCTTGAGTAAAGAGATGGCTAAAATGTATCTTTTGCATTTTGTGAGGATCCTTTTTCTAGGTAGGTTCATGAAGTTTGAGATTTCAAATTCCACTTCTCCCTATTGAAAATACAACCTAACATATTGTTCCAAATGAAGAAGGCGTTTAACTAATTTCTCTTCTGCCAAAAAAACTAATTTCTCCACATTGTCACACATAAGTTCATTGGAGAAGTTTGTTTGTTCTCTTGAGGATCTATTGTTTGGTGATCAACCTGCTAATCTTGCTTGAGCTCTCCATCTATAATAATGACTTTGAGAGAAGCAGCAATAAGCTTCCTTCTTGTGGAGTTTTTAATGAAATATGTGCTGAAGCTTTTGCTCTCTAACATTACATTGGTTGGCTTTCTCTTTCTTGATTTTTTAATTTATTTTCTTATCAAATTTAGTTAAGTATGATTATTACTTTCTATTCTGTCAATGTTATTTATTTATTACTTTTTCATGGACATATTTTTCTATTTAGAGGAAAAATTTTTAATGAAGGCTATAGGGGCCACTGCTTGGTGTAATGGTAAAATCTCTGGCTGGCAAACATGAGAACACAGGTTCGAGTCTGAGAGTGGTCACTTTGTGCAAAAAAAAAAAATGCCAAAGTTTAGGACTGTAACCAGTCTACCCCTCCCAAGACTACCAGCCTCAGCTATGTGGCAACATAGAGATATGCCAAGGAAAGTCAACTGGATCACAAAAAACATGACTGTTACCTTTCATTGGGTGGGAAGATCAGCAAATGCCTTAGCAGATGGGTTAGCTAAGCAAGGGGCCTTAAGGGAACATTTATTTTGGGCTGCGTTGTAATTTTAGTTCTGGTTAATTCTGGTCAATTCTGCTTTAGTTTGATGTAATATTTGGTAGAAGAGGTAACAACTCGTGCCTCCTCTTGGGTCTACTGTATTGCCTCGTATTTCTGATTGAATAAATTATATTCATTCATCAAAAAAAAAAAAAAACTGGATCCAATATTGGGTAATGGCCTTTTATAGAAAATGAAGGCTATGAATTGATTGCTTTCTATATCATACATTTTGTTATTGTGTTGGAGGATAATACAAATTGGATGACTTTAGCTTTTGAAATGTTTATTTTGCAGGTAGTTGATTGTCGTGTTTGTGGTGATCCCCATTCGGTTCTTCGTTTTGCATTTGTAGAGTTTGCTGATGAGCGTAAGTTTATTATGTAGCCCAATGTTTTATCTTCTCATTATAGCTTAAACATGCTGAGTCACATCTTAAATGTCATGGAATTTGTTGACAGAAGGTGCAAGGGCAGCTCTCAACCTTGCTGGGACCATGCTAGGTTACTATCCTGTTAGGGTTTTACCTTCAAAAACTGCCATCTTGCCTGTGAATCCTACATTCCTTCCCAGGGTGCGCATGAGTAAATTATAGCTATTTCTAGTTATAGTTATGTTAAATTTATTTGAACATAGTGTCATATAATTTTTGTTGTATTTCATTTCATTATTTTAATGATTACGTTGATTGACTACAGTCAGAAGATGAACGGGAAATGTGTGCCAGGACAGTCTATTGTACAAATATTGACAAGAAGGTAGGTCCTTATAATTACATGTAAATGGACTTCTTTATTTGTCTTGTGTGGTTTTTGTATGCATTCTTATTTTCCATTTTAAAGATCTTGACCATGCAACTTTGGTCTTTATGGTCTCATGTTTTTGCATATATTAATTGGGTTTAGTGAGTCTTATGGTTAACTGATTGTATATGGTGTCAGGTTTCTCAAAATGATGTAAAAAATTTCTTTGAATCAATTTGTGGTGAGGTCAGCATAATACACCAATACCTTACAATTGGTATTTTTCTTTTTAGCTGTGAACAACTCTTTCTTAGATGCCATACTTTTCATTTACAGGTTTCTCGCCTGAGGCTTTTGGGAGATAATGTGCATTCAACACGCATAGCATTTGTTGAGTTTGCTGTGGTAAGTGTTTACAATATTATAGAGATTAGCTTGCAAGTATTGTGTTTCATTTTATATTAGGATGTTCAATGGATCCCAGTCTCTCTTATGGAATCCTGCAAGGTTGGCATTTGTTAGTATTTAACATTATTTTCTTCCCTATCCTTAGCCAAGTTTTAAACTTTTAATCATAGATGATACCTCATTTGTGAGCTTTGATAACCCTCTTTCCCCTTGTTGGAGGAACTTCGTTTTGGTAATAGGTTGTCTTGACCATTGAGTAATTATTGTCTAGTCTTCTCTTGGTTAACATCAGTTGTTCAGTTTTTGACAAGTTTATAAAGACTACATTAATCCTTGTACGACTGAGGACAGAGTGCTGTCTGTTGTTTTGCTTGTTTGTATTTATTAAATATTAATATTTGTAAAGAAGGGATAGATTTCTTAATCATGCTTTTAGCACAAGTTTGGTCTATTATCTGCCCTTTTATTTGCATTAAGATGTTTCTATAACCATGGAAAACTATCTCAACAGTTGAAAGGGCAGATTTAGAATGACTAGCCTAGGGATGCTAAATTAAGAATTGATATTGCTATGTTTACTTTTCTCCCACAGTCCAACCTTTTAGAGTTGATTTTTTATTCTTCACATTAAGAATAAAACTTCTTGATCATTGCTACTGTAGGAAAAGGGAAAAAACTACTTATAGTATCTTTTGTATAGTCTAAAATATTTCAGTTCTCTAAGTTCCTTATGTGCTAAGATGCTTTGAAGCATGTCCTTGATTGGTAAAATTATCATCTTTCTTGTTACTTTTGTAGTTAAAGAAAATGAACAAATCCTCTGTAATAGCATGAATGGTTCATTATAAATTTATAATGAATAAAGTTTCTATCTGCTATTGAAAAAAAAGAACAAATTTTCTGTTTCAAATCTCAAAAGCTCCTTCAATTTTCCTAGGTAGATTCAAGGTTTAAGTCATGCCTCTTGGCATGTTTTTTCTCCTGATGAGTGATGGAGTTTCCATAGCAAATAAAGGGAAAAAAACCCAGCTTAAAACGTTTTTTTCATGCCATTTGACATATACCACTACTCTTTCCCCCCCNCCCCCCCCCCCAATAGGCATTCAGCTACTACTGTTTCCTCCTCTTTTGTTTCTTTTATTAAGTGGCAGCTAGTAGTCCCCGTAGGGGTTCATATGTTCCCATGGATAGAGTAGCCTCAATGGATGCTTCCTTCATGATTTTCAATGTTATCAAAGCATTGACTAGTTGTCAACTAGTGAATCGTGGCCCAGACCTACTACATATAACTAGGTTTGGTATTCATGACATTGTTGCATGGGATAACTAAACATTAACTAGGTTGACTAGTTTATTGATTTAACATGTCAACCTATCAACCACAAGGTTATTTTTAAGGCTTAATACCAAAAAAAGTTATTTTAAAATTTTATTTGTTTGTGCTTATTTAATTATATAAAACTAGTGCAAGAGCACGTTTGCAAGTAAGCATTAACCATATATGAAATGTGCTATTGGGATTTAACTTTTATGACTTGCTCAGAACCCAAGGCAAGTATCTGCTTAATAACATGATATATGCTTTATTTTTTTTATATGCATGGTGTTTCTTTAAGTATTTGAGACGGCATATGGTTGGCTAACAGTATTCAAAATAGAAGCAAGGCATAAAATAAAAGAAAACAATGGAGGGGTTCCTTTAAATTTTCTTCCAATGAGTGGTTTGTTGTACATAGTTGCTACCAACAAGGGGCACATTAAATGATCAATGTTGCAGTTGCACTCCTTTGAAAAACAAAGGCTATAACTCCTTATCCTAGCCTATACTGCCTTCCTTCTTTTATGTTTGCAAAACAAAGACTGTAGACTAAATGTTGCATCATTTTTTTATTGCATACTTGCAGTTTATATCAACTTATTTATAAGATTATACCAGTATCTTAAAAGTCGGCATATTTTTTTACCAACTAGTCAATGGCTAGAATCTACTAATCATCTCATTGACTAGAGAGGCCAAAACAACCAGTCATTGCCCCACTGCATTGAACACATGATTTTGATGGTGCGACGTGGTCCCCACCAGACAGCACCTTGTGGTTTCACTTAGGTCTTAAAGAAGTTCTCATTTGTCATGTCTCATTTTCCAGGGCCATCTTGATGATAAATATTTAGATGGAAATGGTGGAAGGGGTATTATAACATTTATGGTTGGAAACTAATGCAATCTAGAGCTTGGTGGTGTTGGTATTCATGTGTTGTTAATTGTGGAGGTAAGGAGGGAATAGAGTTACTAATTAACTAGAGAGGCAGAGAGGAACTTGAGGAAGGCTGATTGGATAGTAGAAAAAGCACAAATAATTCTATTCAGAAGTAAAACACAACCAGGTGAACCAGAGGATAGTAGATGACTGACACTTCTCATTATGGCTCCAAGACTTGATTATTTTCTCTTCTTTTTTTCCCTTACCAAAAAAGGTATAAGATTCTATTGTGACTTGAATAAGGCTTGATGGATTTGCACCATCAGAAATTGCAAAATAGGAAAAAAAATATCAAATAATTCTATTCAGAATAAGCACAAATAATTCTATTCAGAAGTAAAACACAACCAGGTGAACCAGAGGATAGTAGACGATTGACACTTCTCATCATGGCTCCAAGTATTTTCTCTTCTTTTTTCCCCTTACCAAAAAAGGTATAAGATTCTATTGTGACTTGAATAAAGCTTGATGGGTTTGCACCATCAGAAATTGCAAAATAGGAAAAAAGATATCAAAACTTCATGATGTAAATCATATTTTGACCTTTACATATAGAGTCATCATCAAAGCCTTATCCCACCTACATGTGTTAAATTGGATTTTTGAGAAATGTCGTCAAAATCTTATGATTTACAATATGATTCACGATTTGAATCATGAATCTCAAGGGTTTTAATTGAATCTTATGCTTGAATCCTTTTCTGCAAAAATCTTATGGCTTTTGTTTGAATCTTATGATTTGATTTATAAATCTCTTATGATTTATAAGATACGATTCCTACAATTCATTGTGATTCAAATAAATTCAATTAAGAATTAGTTCACTAATTTGTCATTTTTTTGTTTGTATTAGTTTTGTGAAGGGAGATTTGTTTTAAAGCGCTACTAGAAAATGAGTGTGTAGGTTAAAGAGCCATTGTATGTGGATTATTTGACTTTCAAGTCAAACTTGACTATATCATCGTAGGCTTCTATTGTACAAGTGGTAAATTCTATTGTTTTAGGTACATATATGGTAGATATGGATTAGAGTAGGATTAAATTATTTATATATATAGCCTTTTAATATATATATAATTTTTTAACAAGTTTGTAAAAAGTAGAAATAGTATTATGATTTATGATATGATACACAATTCGATTTGATTGAATTTTCTCTATGATTTACAATATAATTATGATTTTTAGAACATTAGTTTTGAGTACTTCCCAGAAAAAAAACATTTGAGATGCTTGATGTTTTAAAGTTTGAAAAAATGTATCAAGTTTTCATAGAAAATCTTTATTTTTGTGAAAATATGGAATTTCAAGATTATGGGAGGAATAAGGAGGTTTCCTATCAACCAGGGGAGCTTACTGGTTAGGGAAAAAACCAAATAGCCACTGCTCTCAGTCAATAGTCCCTTGCTCCATCTCATAGTGAATTTTCCCAAGCAATGATAATTATCAGAACTCTTAAATTTATACTTTTAGGAAAACCTGCAAATAAGGGCTTCTTAGAACATGTGACTAAGTTTGTTGTATGAACCTAATGCCATGGGTAAAGGTTGGAAAGAGGACTATGAATCATTTTTTCCTTGGGTCCTGAAAAAGTTCTACGGAAGATTTCTAAGGTATTTAGATTCCTTAAAATACTTATAAAAAGATGACTCCTTAAGGCTCTCAATTAGCAGACCCAACTCAATTCAGCCTTTATCCCAATTATTTGGGGCTGGCCACATGAAATGTTCTGGCATTCTGCTATTTCAGGATTCATATTTTTCTGTCAAATTATAACTTCTTGATCATTTCTTACCACTTCAGGCCATGTTTTCTCTGGTATTCCCCTTCATCTATTTTTGTGCCTTCTACTTGCACCAAAGCCACCAAGTCACTCCTAACTGGTGCCAATAATTAATTGGTTGCCTATGCATGCGGCCATAGTGACACCCTTTTAATAGAGTAAAATACATTTATATTTATATTTTCATGTATTTCATATATGCTTTTACTTATAAAGTCTGGTCAATGTCTCATTTTGAAAATTTCAGATGAAAATGTATTGAACAGAAATGCTTCTCAATCCAATCATGAACTGCGTTGTATTTGTTTGGGTGAATCCTTTTGCCATACTTATTATTTGTGTAACCAAACTATATGGAAACTTTCAAACACCATTTTATTTTATTCTCCTTGTGCCAAATAGCTAATTAAAATATAGAATTATTTGATATAAGCACAATCCTTAAATGGCTTTTATAGCAAAAGGATGCTAAAAAAATAACTTGCTAACTAAAAATCAATGTGAATTCTACTGATAATCCCAGGCAAATCAAAATTCAGGATCTACAATAATATTTTACATTTTGAATTACAACCTTGCATTCTTGTTTCTGTGTGAAATTTTTGTATAGACAGTATTCAAGGCCTTCCCGTGAACTTATTACAAGACAACTTTGTTTTATTTTATTTTTTTTATGGTTGTTTGTTTGAGTAGGTTTTCTCTATGACCAATTTTTGGTCATTGTGCTCCTTTGATGTTTGATCTTTGTGGTTATGATAGATCTCTATCATCTATGACAGCATAATTTGTAATGTCAAGCTAAATTGTTGAATAGATTCCCAATTTTGTGGGCCACATACCTTGTGCACTATAGCAGTTTAGAACTCTATAGGAGCTTAGGATCGTTATAATGCTATTCTAGTCTGTCAATATTTAATTGAACATTCATGACACTTGCACACTAGGGTAGGGCT